GTTTTCAAAGTTCAGATCTTGAATAATAATTTATAAAATTCTGAAATGCTGGGATATGTCTACTGTATATATATATTTTTTAGTTTTTTCTTACACCCCTTGAAGCTTTGGTAACCCCTTCGTGGGGTCCCAACCCCCAGCTTAGGAACCACTGCTCTGGCGCAACCATTAGTCCAAGTGAAATGTCGTGGCGACTATCATCACAGGATGAATTTTGATAACTTTGGCGAACCCTTAACGATCCTCTCCAGGAATGTATTAAGGCATACAGTACCGACAATTAATCAGCTCGGACATTAATGTCTGTCTGATATGTTTTTTTCTGCAAAGTATAATTTTTACATTAACATCCGTAAAAAGTAATTTACTCCTTCTACCTCATTAAAAATTCCAGAATCTATGAATATGCTTTGCTAAAGGTTTCCTGCTGAACACAAGATGTCTCCTACTTCACTATAAACTCCATTCTCATTGTATGTGTACTGGAGGCTTCAAATTTCTACTTCACACTTGTAGAAGTAGAAAATTGCACCAGGTTTGACTTCCAAAGTATTTGTGATGTGAACTTTCCACTTTCAGATGAGATGTGAAAACATCCTTCTAGTGTCAAACTCTGCACAGACGGCACTTTGCACAGTGAAGATCAAACATTTAACTGTAGGAATGATTTTTGGCTGGAGGAGAACTTTTCATCTGTTACCATATATATAGCTCACAATCGTGGTTATTTTCTTGCAGCTTGGTGTCATTTGCATGCGATTTAATCAAGGTATTGTAAACACGATGGACAGATGTGTGTCATGGCTCTGTGCTTTAATGCAGCACTTGACACGCTAAAGACTTTGTGGATGGGTGTTTTCTGCTTCCTTTAAAACTGCAACACAAATCCAAACATCTTTAGAATCCCTTCAGCCATGTCAGGAACTACAAACAGTCCTTCAGATGAGGTTGTGTTTGTAAGAAAGAACTGCAGGCTGCCAACAGAAAGCTAGCCAGGACATGGACTGAGAAGTCTAGAAGTTGAGGGTCTCAGACTTCCATGTTCATCTGCAGTTGTGGCTCCTCCTCCTCCTGATTTTTAGTTTAGAATTTTGCCCTTCAGCATTTTTCTATTCAGCTGCAGGTCTTGATAACTCCTCAGTGTGACTAAATTAAGTTAGCATTCTCTGTTAACGAGACACTGACAGCTGATTTTTAACTGATTCTCTGGGATCCATTTTGGTACAGGCTCAAATTAAACGGCTTATCTTCTCTGTGTTATCGACTCTCAGGGTTCCACTTGTCTCTTGGTTTCAGGCGAGTTTCCATCAGAGCTGCTTTATCTGTGATTGTCATTCTAGACGCCTCTGCTCATCACAGATTTGTGAAACGAGGCGCTGTTTTCTGCCAAGTAAGCAAACCTTGTTCAGTTTCCACTCTGCTTTCATCTTCTTTGAGTCTCGCTGGTATCAAGTTTAACAGACAACTTGTTGGCCAACCCTCCTGCTCAGTGTGGAGCTCTCAAACAGCACAGCTCTCTGTGGTCAAGGTGAAATTGCAGCGGTGACTGTAAACATGAGTTTTATAAGACTCTGGGCCATCGAGTTTCTTCTCTTGTTCTAATAATGAACACTACTACTGGCTGTAGCCTGAAAAGACAAGTTCAATCAAAGCTTAGAAAAAAGACAAGGACACGTCAAAAATAACTCATATACATTCAAGTCAAACTGATCACTCAACATGATGTCAATTTGTGCATGTAGCTGGGGTAGCTCTAGCTCAGGTTGTAGAGCATATCTGCCACAATTGGTAGGTTGCTTGTTTGATTCTTTGCTTCTCCTGTTCACATGTTGAAGTGTCTTTATGCCAGACGCTGAACCCCAATAAGTAAGGTGCTTTGGATTAAAAGTCTCTGCCAAATCAGTTTAATGCAGTTGCTTCAAGGTGATAATGGGGAGGGGTTTTTTTTACTATCGCTTGTTAAACTACAGCTCAAACACACTGTGGGGCTAAAACATTTTGTTTGTCAGTTACGGGAACAGAACATTCTAATCCAGGCCAAAGAGTTCGGGCCTCAGTAGATTTCAACAAGCCTCAACTAACACTGCATATTTTGGTTCTCTGACAGCTGTCAATTGAGGAAAAACACTCTGTAAACCATGCCTCTCTTTAAGTCTTAAATATATAGTTTGGGTTGTTTGAAATGGGGTTGTATGAGGTATGAACAATATTAAGAACATTTTCCACACCTTACCATGTCATCAAATTGCCCTTTCCTTTGGCTACATTACCTCAATTCAATTCAATTCAATTCAATTCAATTCAATTCAATTTTATTTGTATAGCGCCAATTCATAACAGAAGTTATCTCAGGACACTTTTCAAATAGAGCAGGTCTAGACCGAACTCTTTAACATTAATTACAGAGACCCAACAGTACCACCATGAGCAAGCACTTGGCGACAAGGGCAAGGAAAAACTGCCTGTTAAAAGGCAGAAACCTAGGACAGATCCTCCGGCTCTAGGTGGGTGGTCGTCTGTCTCGACCAGTTGGGGTGAGAGAGAGAGAGAGAGAGAGAGAGAGAGAGAGAGAGAGAGAGACAGACAGAGAGAGAGAGAGAGAGAGAGAGAGAGACAGAGAGAGAGCCAGAGAGAGAGAGAGAGAGCCAGACAGACAGACAGACAGACAGACAGACAGACAGACAGACAGACAGGTGCACAGCAACAACAGTATTGGCAATGGCAGTCAAGCAGGACCATGGCAGGAGGCTCCACCAGGATCCATGAGAACCTGTGAGACGAGAAAGCACAAGAACTCCGGGGAAGAAGTGAAGTTAATAACATGCATTAATGGGACATGAATGAGTGCAGAAAGAGAGAGGAAGGGAGGAGCTCAGTGCACCATGGGAAATCCCCCGATAGTCTAGGCCTATAGCAGCATAACTAAGGGATGGTTCAGGACTCACCTGATCCAGCCCTAACTATAAGCTTTATCAAAGAGGAATGTCTTAAGCCTACTCTTGAATGTGGTGAGGGTGTCTGCCTCCCGAACCACAACTGGAAGCTGGTTCCACAAGAGAGGAGCTTGGTAACTGAAGGCTCTGGCTCCTGTTCTACTTTTAGAGACTATAGGAACCACAAGTAGCCCAGCATTCAGAGAACGTAGTGTTCTAGAGGGGTAATAGGGTACTATGAGCTCTTTAAGATATGAAGGGGCCTGACCATGAAGAGCTTTATAGGTGAGGAGGAGGATTTTAAATCCAATTCTACATTTTACAGGGAGCCAATGCAGAGAAGCTAGTACAGGAGAGATGTGATCTTTTTTTCTAGTTCCTGTCAGTACTCGTGCTGCAGCGTTCTGAATTAATTGGAGCGTTTTAATGGACTTATTGGGGCAACCTGATAATCAGTCCATTCAGTATCCATCTGCATCTGTTCCTCTTCTGTATACTCTGCTTCACAAAGGTATCCTCTTGCCTCCACGATGAGTGTCACTTCGTTGTCGCTGTCATAATCACACATTTAATTTTTTTTAGGGCCCAAGCATTGATCAGTGCAAGGACCTATTGTATCTGTTAGAATTGGCTGTTATTATTATTTTTCTGCCCCTTCAATCGCATTTTCGGAGGCCTAAACATGCTCGAAAGCTCACAAAACTTTGCACAAAATTCAAACGTGGCCAATATTTACGTATTCTTTTGTAACCGGGCACGGGCACTGCAAAATGGCTAAGCCACACCCCCCGCTATAAACCGCTGTAACTCTGCTCCAAACAGCTGATCTTCAGCATAATATGTTGTGCACGGCACAGTTGGGCTTAGGGATAGGAATAGCAGTTATAGGTTGAGACAATATTGTGCCACAAGAAAGAGACTGCAACGTAGTGGAAAAAAATAGTTATCAAACCCTGCTGACTCCAGAAGAGATAAACACTGAGTGAATCACGAGTAAACAATAAAAACATTTAGTGAATTTAATTTAATTTAAAAGTTAAAAAGTTAAAATAGCATACACTTAACTGATATTGATTTATTAAAGGTTTTTATGTTGCTGTTTTTGTTGGCTGCTTCCTTGTGTGAGAGTGCGAGACCACCTACTCTAGGTAATACATTGACTCTGGATAAGTACCTCATGCGAACCCCAACTAAGTTCCCTTATCCTTTTTTAGCCCAAGATCCCACTTGTAGGTCTGACATTTTTTCCAGTTCCAACTATCTAAAACAAAGATTTTTCTAAGCAGTTGGATACTTTTGTAAGTGACAGACAGGGATGTTAATGAAAATGTTTGGAAAGAACATTTTAGTCCACAGTCACTGTTAAAGGGGAACGTACAGATGATGGGGAGTAATAATAATATGTGACAAGAGTTATATTAAGCCCTCAAGAGGGAGCGGTGTGAAGTCTGATGAATGCATGGATTTTAGTTGTGTGCATCTCATCTCATCGGTCAAGTCTTACCTGGACTTAAACTTTTATTTTGTGCAAATGAGAGCATGAAATCCAACTTAATTAAACTACATGTTTGCATAACTTTGCTACTAATACAACTGTGCTGAATGCTAAGGTGAAAATTAACTATAGAGACCACGTGAGACAGAAGTTTGGGGTTTTCCCATTCACTCCAATACAGTGTGGCATTTCTTGGAGGAGCATCTGGTGGACAGCAGATGACCTGCAGCTAAACAACCTGCAGCTTTAACTGGTCCACACTGACCAATATACATGATTTAATATTCTTTTCTGTGATTGGTCGAAAAGCACTTTGTCCTCATCCTGTTGAAGTGATTGAAACTGTAATTTCAGACCCTCACTCCTGATGGGCTAATTACTGTCGGCTCACCTTAGCTGTTGATTAGTTTATCAACACACAACTGAGCGTTGTTAAAAAAATCCACTTCTCCACAAAAGACCTCTCCTGCTGTGTCTCTTCTTCACCTTTTGATTGCTTTACTCTTCCTGCAGCTCTCTAATTGGCTGGCTGATGAAAGGCTGATGGGAAAAAAATGTTTTTTCTTTCTCAGCTGGACAACGTGGACGAGCAGGCGGCTCAGATCCGCAGAGAGCTGGATGGAAGGTTACAGCTGGCCGAGAAGATTTCCAGAGTGAGAAACACACTAACAATAAAACCCAAACTTATCACGTTATAATGCTATAAAACACATAATATCAAGATCCTTGACAAACCCACAGAGAATTCTTACCAACTCTGCAGTAGTCACCTGATAGTTTCAGTGATGAGCTTTGTTGTAGATCCAACAAAGTCTAGAAACTATGAAAAAATGTTTTTTGCAATGTTTTCATATTTTCACTGCCTGAATGTCTGTTCTGCAGGAGAGGAGATATCCAAAGTTTGTCTCTGGTGACATGGAGCCTCTTTATGTGGAGGAGCTGCGTTCGTCGGTCAACCTGCTCATGGCCAACCTGGAGAGTCTGCCGGTGTCCAAAGGAGGTCCCGACTTCAAACAGAAGCTCAAACGATCCTCCATGAACAACTCCTTCCTGGACATGGGAGACGAGGGGGACATCCTGTCCAAGTCTGATGTCGTGCTGTCCTTCACTCTGGAGGTGTGTGTGGATGTGAACTTGTCTGATCCGCTGGTATTCGACTGCACCAAATTGTACACTAGCACTGAATAGGTTAGTTGATTGTCAAGAAATTATTGAACTCCAATTTTGAGAATGTATTAATCCATTAAGTCATTTATGATAATAACTTTATTTAAATAGGACCTTTCAAAACAAAGTCACAAAGTGTGTCACAGTAAAAACAAATAAAGTAAATAAAATCCCAAACATAAAATATAAAACAAGCTAAAATAATTTAAACAATTAAAACAAATACCATTAGTTAAGATATATATATAAAAGTGAGTTTTAGGACAAGATTTAAAGAGGATTTCTCAAGTTACATTTGCTGCTTTTTCCTGTTTTACATCAATGTAAGCTGAATATCGTTGATTTTTGGACTGTTGATGGTACAGAGGATTTGACAAACAGACATTTGAAGATGTCACCTTGGGCAGTGTTCTGATATTTTATAGACAGACGATTGAGATCGAGAAAGTAATAGACCTTTTTCACAGCAACCACACAAAATAGTAAACACCGGTATTACCGATGATACTAATTAAGGTTCAGTTCCATTTAGTGTAGCAGAGCCTTTATAGTGAGCCAACATGCACAACCGCTGCACCCTGACTCTGTTTGACCTTAATGGAACTGAACCTTAATTAGTGTCATTGTAACACCTATGTTTACACTACTATTTCATGCCAAAATGGCTGCTGTGAAAAAGGTCACAGAGCACTGAATGTTTTGGGGTTTTGAATTGTTGCTCAGTCAAAACAATGCATGTGTTTTAACTCTCTGCTGGTGGTTTCAGATTGTGATAGTGGAGGTCCAGGGTCTGAAGTCTGTGGCTCCAAACCGGATCGTTTACTGCACCATGGAGGTGGAGGGAGGAGAAAAGCTGCAGACAGATCAAGCTGAAGCCTCCAGACCACAGTGAGTCCTACTTCTTCCTGCTCTATGTCAGTGACTCAGTTAGTTCTCAAAGAGAATAAAAATAGCAGAGTTTACATACCGGTCTTCACATGGACAAAGTTTGACAAACAGCTCTGTGGCAGTAATCTATTTGGTACTAAAGAGACATGAACTGTGTTCGGAGCTAAAACCCAGTTTATTGGAAGCTTCATGTTTACAGCCTTCTGAGCTTTCACTCTTGACTCCTAATTAGATATCCGTCTGAGCTTTTGAAGATTAAATGAACGCACAGATGTCGGTGAAAAGCCTCCTTAACACAGTTACCTGAAACTGTATCACAGCAGACGCTCATCTTTACAAAGCAAACAGCGCTCTGGGCAGACGACTAAACTCCACATTCTATGGAAGGCGTGACCTTCAGCTTCTTCAAACACCACGATAACCTGCCCGAAGCAATGTTTCTCATTCTTCAGTCAAGGCTGATGCAGCGAGAAGATGAGGCTGTTATGTAACGGTGATGGGAGTCAGTCTCTTCTCATCACATACAAAACATAAACACACACACACTGGTTTCTGAAGGAAAGCCCAGCTGAGCTCAAAGTCCTCATTGGTTCAGTTCGGTCAGACCCCTGAGGTTTTTAATTACAGCCAATCATGACTGACTCACACCTGGGACTCTACAGGATGCGGGTTTATGAGCCGGTACAATTTACAAAACAACAATGAAGGTTTGTAGCCATGTACTTGTGCCCCTGTGAGGCTGTAACGTTCATTACACTCAAAAAACCCTTTACAGTGTGGTAGATAAAAAATGGAGACAACTCCTAGTCTTATCCTCTTGGCATTAGTGTGGTATAAAATTTAAAGCTTGGCGTCAGCTGACATTTAAACTGAACATTACCTTGCTTACAGTCCACTTACAGTCTCATCCTAATGCTAACAGGCATGCTACAGTGTTAGTGTTTGCATGTTAACATGATGGATGTATTATAAGATCTGAATACTGGACTCCCCATGCCATATAAAGCTCTGTTAATACATTCATGTTTAATATGCTACAGACTGCTGGACTTCTTCAGTTAGCTTCAGCTTTGGCTAACTTGTGAGCTAACTAACTGAGGCTAACTTAAAGGTCCAGTATGTTTTATTTAGGAGAATCTACTGGCAGAAATGGAATATAATATTCATAGGTATGTTTTCATTAGTGTATAATCTCCTGAAAATCTGAAAAAATCTTAGAATTAAGATACCACACTGACTCTAGATAGGGCCATTCACATTCTCCTTCAGGCTTTGTTGCGTTAACAGGTTTCAGTTGTAGCTTAAGTATAACATTTTTCACTTATTTTTTTTTAGCTTATTTAGGGTCGTTTTTCCCCTGAGAGCCAGGTGTACTTTCTTACCGTTACAGTCTACAGTCAGATTTATGTCACTGAGACAGGGATCTTCAGGTCACAAATCAGCTTCTCCAACCTTTAGGCTCCTCTGTAATCATGTTTCTATGATTATATAGTTATATATAATTGTTAGTTATCATGTTGGCATGTTAACATGATAAAATGTACATACTGTACTGAGTTATGATTTTTTTTGAGTGCAGTTGAGTCTTATGTTTAGCATGTAACATTGGTCATACTGTAAACTGTAAACTTCATTAAAATGTTTGCTTCTCTGACCACATTTCACTCTGTCCCACGTTCCCCATATGATTATTCGAGTTATAGCAGTATACATTTATTTATTTATTTTAAATACTGTTGTGCAGCCATAAAGTCACATAGAGGCAGTAAAAATTGATTTGTGATGGTAATCAAATGAGAATAAAGTATATTTAAAAATAACCCCAAAATAACACTTTCATTGTACAATGAAAGACAAATAAGACATCAAATGAGTCGTTTCTAAACTGTAAAACTGAAATACATCACTCACTTACAAATGAAACATCAGAATATATATTTGCCTGTATCACTTCTGAGTTCAGGAAAAAACTTCTTCCATTATTTCCACAGCAGCATACATGCCATGTCCACTGGAAAATAAAAATGTTTTTATTTTCTTTGCCATGGTGGTGCAGCCCACTGGCGACTGATTGTCACTCAGGTCTGTACATTCTTGCTGGGGGTTGTTAATCATTGGATGCCCATGGACAGCGGGGGTCTGTACAGTAATGAGGCTGCCCTTTCACATGCCCCAGCTGCTGGTGGAAAGTTTTTTTTTCTGACAGCCGTCCGCCGCCAGAATCACCAAACAGAGCCAATTAGACAAGCTCACCGTCACCTGACGACCTCGTTGGTCAACAGGGATCGTGTGCTGTAAACCCAGCTTTACTGCAGCTCCTGTAACCTTCACTGTAATTAGCCCACTGCACATTTTCACACCCCTTATCTTCAATAACGCACCCATACCCTTAATGACATCGTAGTTAACTATAATTACATGGACAACATGATTATCTGTGATTACAACGTCGTCCAATTGCTCTGATGACTCCTGCAGTTCTAGCGTAAGCTCTTCAATCACTGAGGACCTTTTCATTAGGAATACCCGTAATTATTCTGGAATGCCAAGAATCTGTGACTCACTTAAAGGACCAAACCACTGTTTCTGTGTTTATTACAAATCAAGTCGTGATAATTATATTCCAATTAGTTTTTTTTTTTCTTCCTCGCATTTGTTGTTTCCGTACACAATGAAAATGATTAATGACTGATGAATAATACTACCTGCTCCAGGGCATCACTCGCAAAGCTAATTCGCCTTCTTCCAGAAAGTGTAGCCGGGAGTGTTTGGAGTGTAAACAGATTTCAAACAGTTTCATACAGTTTCATACATTATGTACCAATGTGCCTCAGAGACAAACACTAGCTGATAATAAAGGCCAGAGAATCAACAGGAAGACACATTTTAACCAAATGTCACAGTTAAAGTGACACTCCACCTAGGGATAAGATTACCAGTAAAGGGGTTACCAGTAAAAACTTGTTAAAGCTGTTATAACTTTGCCAAGTTTGAACCTTCAAACCCCCGTTGGAACTGGCTCCAACACAATATAGGCAATATTTGGGCTCCACAAAGTCACAGCTATGCTTTGGGCTAAATGCTGTCACATGCTCTTACTGACAATACGAACATGGTGATGTTAAGGTGTAAAGAGTTTGTGCTGTTTTACCGATGTAATGTTCCCCACAACAGTCACTTTTATTTACACGGTCTATGGTCACACACCTCCCTCTTGGGGCGCCGTGTCTTTAGGATGATAAAGATGTTGGTTGGTACATCCTCAAGCCCCAGTATTTATTCTTACTTATTCTCTTTTTACTCTCTTGTATCCGCATTAGCTTACTGTAGCAGTTGCTAGTCTTCCTGGTGGACAGAGTGATCGACCGACATTACTATCCTTAGCTATGACGCTAGCATCGCTAAAAACATAAACCTATAAAGTGATATATGTACAGAAAGAAGCCCGACCTGTAACAATGTTTAGACATGAAGCATGGTATCTTAATTTGAGAACTTTGTCATAACACTATTATTTGATATACTGTCATTAAACTCAGTTTGCAGGTGCACGACAGTGAATCATTTTCTTTCTGACTCAGACCAACAAAATAAAACAGCAGCTGAGATTTCACCTTTAAATTTGTCCCCCAGTTTTCTCTGCCGTCTGGTTTTAATGCTTTTGATGCTCAAGGTCGAATTTTGCCAACCAGACGAGATGCAAAATGAATCTGTAATAACCATCATCATGTTCACCTGCGTTAGAATGGTTATCTCAGGTCAGTTAATACATGAGGTCAGAGCTGTTTGTATCAGTGTCTGTCCCCTGTCTTACAGATCTAACGTCTGTGATTACTAAAAAAAAGTGTGTGTGTGTGTGTGTGTCTTGCTCTATACTTGACCAGTTTCAAAAACAACATGTGTGAGGATGTTATGAGGATGTTTGAGTGAGTGTTGAGGGGGGTGTATGCGTGTGTGTGTGTGTGTGTGTATATGTGTGTGTGTGTGTGTGTGTGTGTGTGTGTGTGTGTGTGTGTGTGTGTAAAGTGAACACCTTTCCTCACAATGTTGCCTTGGAAACTGGGGAAACTGAATATGGAGCTTGGCTTTGCTTCTCGCCCTCAACAAGTGAAGGGGTCACTTGTCATCTGTGCACCAAACAAACACACACACACACACACACACACACACACACACACACACACACTCTTACACATTTAAAATGACAGTTGTGACATAAAGGCATGTAATCATGGGAGCGTGGCTCTCAGAGTGTATAATAGCTATGTCTCCCTCATCCTGAGCAGAAGGCTTCACTCTGCTCCATTAGTCTCCATGAGATACACAATAAGTGATTCTTGACAACAGCCAACACTGATTGGACTGTTTATTGCCTCTGGATCTCTGACTAAGACCTGATATGATGTTACAGCAAATTGAGCGAAGTTTCCAGGGTGATTGTAATATAGGCTGAAAGTGCCTTGTACTGTGGGTTTTGTCGCCTGCAAATTCGAAAAGTTGTACATCATATTAATTCCTATGCAGTAGCTACACTTGGGGCTTTGTCCTTGCTTTTTGAGAACAAAAACGGTGTCATACTCGGATTCACATGTGAAGGCTCTCTGATGTTTGAGCTCATGAGAAACTTCTATCCATCACAATCTATCACAAAGTCTGACTGAATCTCACAAGCTAAGTTCTCCCTGTGATCAGCTAAGATTCAGCTGAGCTTGACAAATAATGTACATGTTGGAGGAAGCAACAAACACAGATTCTCAATTGAAAAACAAAACTCTTTATTGAAAGTTTAAACTAGGTGCAAAACAAAGCAGAATTCAGTAGAACAGAACAACCTTTTCATACAGTTTGGGACTTTTTGTTCACTTTGCTGACATTTTGGATGTGTGCTGGTTCAGACAAACCACAGTAAAAGCCTGTCTCCTGCAGGTCTTAATCGGCCCGGGTTCGTTTTCCAACCTGCTGCCCTTTGCTGCATACCCCCACTACTGCTACTATCAAATAAAGGCAATAAAAGTTCCCAAGTTTTGGGGGGAACTTTTATTGCCTTTTTTTGTTTGGTTTGCATCAGCCGTAACTCAACACAGTTCTGATGCGACTGAAGTACAAACAGGAGGATGGAAGTAAAACTAAACTCTAAACCACAGATATTTAGTTATAAGCTAGGAACGTACTGAGAGCTAAACACAAGAAGATTTGTTTTGTGCAAATCATAACATGTGGGGCTCCCTGGTAGCTTACTTGGTAGAGAGGTTGCCCCATGTACCAGGGCTTAGTCCTTGCTGCAGCGGCTGGGGGTTCCTTTGCTGCATGCCTGATACCTAGTACCAGTGTGTGTGTTAACACAATGTACAAGATCAATAAAAACGCTCAGTGTCTGTCCAACTTTAAAGAGGATCCTTGTCTCTTCCAGGTGGGGGACTCAGGGGGACTTTACCACGACTCACCCCCTGCCCTCGGTCAAAGTGAAGCTGTTCACAGAGAGCACCGGGGTCCTGGCTCTGGAGGATAAGGAGCTGGGCCGGGTGAGAATCCAAACACACTGCACATAAAGCACAATTTAATCAGGTCTTCAGTAAGTACTTAAATATGTACATATTAAATACTGGGTTTTTTTAAATGGTGTGCTTCCAGTTAAAAAAACCCAAAACAAATAGTTCATGAATTAATAAACAGAATGGAAGTACAGACAATTTACAGATAGAAAACAGAAAATTGGGGTCTAAGCTTGTAACACTCTTATTTCCTACGATAGGAAATCATTTTACACAAACACTTAACTTTGTTTGATCTCTGGGTAGTTCAACTACAGATCAAATTAACTTCTTATTAGACAAACTGTCTAACTAATTAGCTACTGAACTAATAAACTGACAGGGTTATATTTTTATATCAAGACAAACATGATTGTATACCTCCATCTGTGCTGAAACAGTCACTTCTCATCACTTTTACACCCCGTTAGTTTTGACAGCAGCAACTCAGTCAGCATCAGTATCAACACCACCACAGCTGAAGGGAGAGGTGAATATAAATACAGCTCATTTTTAAAGCACACATCCTTTTGGAGACTTGTTGGTTTATGTGAGCCTGTAAAAGTGACATTTTTAGGTGGGTATTTTTACTTTTGTGTGAAGTTAAGCCAGTAAATGTAATGTAATGATCAAAGCTTTAATGACCCAGAGGTCCAAAGGCAGGTTCAGACTTTTGATAGGAGCTGGCGTGATGCCGACTGGTTACTGTGACTCTCTTCTTGTCATTTTGAATCACTTTGTGTTTCTGTGAGTGATGTCACCACAGAGCTGTAATCAGGATTTTAGAAATGGTAACAATTTGGAGTCAGTGGTCCTGAAAGTGCATGTGCATTGTAACTTTTGGATTTGTTTTGAGGTTTGGAGTGAGGATTTCAATTTGAAATTGATTTAGATTAAAAATTGTGAAATTCTGTCCCATGTTAAGACACCAACCAGCTTGCTGAAAAAGTAGCTTCTCCGGGCTGTTTTTATTCCCGTATGATCTAAAGTGATAAGTCAAAGGCAGCTGAACTTCCTTTAAGCCCTATTCAGACATGGGATATGTGACATGTTGAATTCATCAAGCTATTAAAGTGATGGCTTTTTGTCATTAAGACATAGGTTAGACTTTTCATGTTAATGAGCCTTCCAGCTTTATTCAGACGTGACATATACCAAAAGACAATCTTAACAGACTAATTACAGGGAGAGAAAAAAATATCTTAAAAACAGAACAGGCTCCGAATCACTGAGGGGTTGATGAAATATTCAAATTGGCTGTAAACTCCCCTGGAGAAATAAAACCATCAGTGAAGGTTTAGACCCTTTAATTACTGCCTGATTCTGATTGGATGGTGAGGCAAGAAGTCAGCCAGGGAGCCAAAAGTCCAGAAAGTTCCAGACATCCTTCATGATGTTGGAGGTTAACGTGAGTTACACAAACTCACACCACCAGTTTGTGTGAGCAGGGTCCTGATTGATTAGGAGACCAGTTCACACTGTGTATGTGTGTGTTGGAAGCAGAGAGATGAAAGACGCAGAAGAAAAAGTAAATAAAGTGCTCTTTTTGCTGGTAAACGCATGGGACGATGTGAAAATTTAGTTATTTTTGGGGGATCTGTAACATAGAAAACTCAGTATCCTGACCATTCACTTCGATAGTTTTGAGCAAGACTGCTGGTTATTAGTTGTATTAGTATTAGTTTATAGAAGTACCTACAGACTCTGGACTTAACATTGCTAACCAATCCCTGACCTCCTCTGCATCCTGTCCCCCCTCAGGTGGTCTTGAATCCAACCACGAATGGGCCGAAGCAGGCCGAGTTCCACCGGATGGTCGTCCCGAAGAACAGCCAGGACACAGAGCTGAAGATCAAACTGGCTGTTCGCATGGACAAGCCACCCAACATGAAGCACAGCGGGTGAGTCTGAAGGGGTCACAGTGTCACGGGATCCGGTCCTCTATAGCAGTGGTTTTTAAAAATGTGGTCTGGGAACCAACTGGGGTCCTTGAATGGGTTAGAGGCAGTCCCCAGCAAAAGGAGCAATGAAATATTTGAACTTTTATCACATTTTCTGGAAGTTGAAACAAGGGAAGAACTAGCGTTTTCATTGATTGTCATTTATAGTGATCCTAGTTTAATCATTGACTATGAAGACTTTATTATCTTCACACCTGAAAATAAAGAAAATCCTCCCAAATTGGGGGTCCATGGTCTAACATGCATCTATTGTGGGGGTCCTTGACATGAAAAAGTTAGGGAACCACTACTCTGCTGGGTTGCCAGATTCTGAAAGAAATGTCAAAAGTCTGTTTAAAAGACAAACAGTAGGTTAAACCAGACCGATCATTTAAAGCATCAGAGGAACAATCAGCAGGAATGAGTTTTATTTGAAAGCTTTTCTCACTTCTATGTGAGGATATTCACTAACTATCCAGATTCATCCCAATAGAGTAAATTCACCACCATATAGGTAGTGCTTTTTATCCCGACAGATAATTGCTGCAGCCTCTATCAATAAACAAGGCTCTAGTAAAGGCTGAACAATATAAAGGATGTCTACGCCAGTAACTGGGAGGAAAACCCACAGGCTTTATTTTAAGTAAATGAACCCAAGCCAGATCCCTGCCAAAAAGAACAAAAGATAGAGAAACCCCTGAGTGCAGTGCGCTGTCACACCCAGATTCTCTCTTAAGCTACCTTTTCTGAGCTGCTTCATTCTCAACTCCTGTTTGTCTTCTGCATCATAGTTTGTGTGTTTGTTTTTGGGGTTTCAATGTAAGCTTTGTTACCACTGTGAGATGAAACGGAACTACCAAATCAAATCCTTTTGCTGCGACTTGACAATTAAAGTGGTTCAAACTTCAAATCCAGCTTCTTTGGAAAATGTCATGCCATGAAACAATAAGCAAAAATACCAGTGAGGCTTCTTTTAATGAAAGAGCTGTCATCACTTTGTGATCAGGGTTTTGTTTGAAGTATATATGTAGGCCGACAGCTACACCTGCTGGTTAAATAGAGTAAGCAGAAACAGTCTGAATGTGATAATGAGATAAGAGCTTATTAGCTGATTGTACTTTAACACAGTATAATCCATAAATTCAATTCAACATTATTTAAAGTCAGCACAGAAAAGTTTATTAAAGATGAATAGATTTTGTAGTTGTAACTTTGAATCAGGAAATGTGAAATGACCTCACTGATTTCAGTCACTGCTGAACATCATCTGTCATGTGTCAGAGGGTTTTCTTAGTTTCATTTGATGTGTCAGCTTTAGAGTTGAAAGATAGTCTGTTTTTAACTCTGATGTTTGCCTCCATAACAACTGCTGGCTGTGTTGTGTGACAGTTATCTGTGCTGTGTCCTGAGTTATTCTCTGTAATCAGAGTGTTTAAAATCGGATGCGTTTATCGTCCATTCTTGTCTCCTGGGTGGAGATTTAGTTTTAATAGTTAATTTACGCTACACAAAATTGATTTAAGATGATTTAATTAGACTTCAGAGTGTTGTTGATTTACTCTAAACTACCTAAACTGAAAACACAGGACTGGCCCCCCTTATGCCCATACTGACTGAGTTTTTTCATATATAGTGACAGTAGACAACAACTAACTCTTAACTGTTTATTTTCTGCCACACTACTAACTGTGGAAATAAACAATTAAAACTTAATTTTATTGTTCAGCCAAACAAATTATATGTGTAGTTCTTCCTCTAAATTACTGTTTAAAAAACTGAATCTTTCAAACTTCCCTGAATTAGACAAAAATAAACAATTGCAAGTTCACTTTTAAGATATTTTCATTTTATCTAACATAATATTATTTATTACTACATTGTTTCAGATTTAAGCAAAACTGCTTGAATGTATAAAGGCTGTCCAGGCAGCGTGTATGTTGTACAATTCTTACTTTCTGCCACAAGATGGTAGCAAAACCCTCATTTTCCAACCCACAAATCTATGTTGAGGGAATATGTCTGTTCATTTACAGCACTGTGTGCATACGTGGCAGCACTCTATCTGCAGTGAATTTTATTTTGACAGCTCACCTGTTAACCATTTTAAGGTTTTAGTGTTTAGACATTAAAAATGTGTGAATGTCAGTGACTCAAAAAGAAAAACCGGATCAAAGATCTTGTTTAGTGATGCTTGGATAATAAGAGACATTCTTTTCTGAACCAGTAGCTCCTCTCCAGATACACTGCATATAAACACTCTGCAGTAGAAAAATCACTTGTCTTGTTTAAACAAGTTTAAAATTGCATATACTCCTTCTTCCTCATTAAAAAATCCAGACTCTAGATATGAAAATATTTTTTTCATTCCAGACGTTTAACTGCTGGACACAAGATGTCTGCTACTTCACTAAAAAGTTTTTTAAGTTTCCACAACACACTTCTAATAAGTTTCATATTGGGCCACGATTGGCTTTCAAACTAGCTGTGATGACCCTGCAGGCATTTTAAGGTGAGCACAGAGAAACCTTACCCCTTCAGTAGATGAATGTGAAAACAATCATCATTCTGCACAGTGAAGGTCTGACATCCAAGTGAAGCAACAATAACCAAACACATTTTTAAGTGTGGGAGGACTTTAAAAATCCCAAATCAATGTAAAATTAGATTAAAATAAGTCTTTTCCTAATTTGACTTCAGGAACTCACAAATTTCGCTTGATGAAATGCAGCTTTTTTCCAAGTTACACTGCCTGAACTCAACAGATACAGAATACATATTTCAATAAAAACATACTTGAGATAGCTTGAGAATGTAGTAGCGAATGCATTGATGGCTGAGGGCTATAAACAATTTGGGAGTTGTTGAAAGGGGGATTTTTTCCCTTTTGATGGAGCTCGCAGTTTACCCCTGCTTCCAGTCTTTGTGCTAAGCTAGGCTAAACGCATCCAGAACGTTTTTCTGTATTGGACGCTCAAAGATGATACCTCATCTTCTCATGTGTCATGGTGGAGTTGATCAAGTGAATGTAAATGAAGAGGTAGGTTGCTACTATGATAACACTACACTGTCTGACAACAGACTGACTGAGTCCGACAGACAGAAAGACAGAGGAAAGGGGGATAAATGCAGTGCAATAAGTGCACTGGTGCAGTTTTCAAATATCTCCACAAGGGGTCAGTGTGAGTCCAGGGTATTTCTGCTGGTCCAGGTCTTCACCTGTTTAAACTGCTGTGATTTCTGTTTTTATTAAAGACACAATCTATGATTTTGCCACTAAAAGGTGTCATTCTCTGTTTTTATATCTTCTCCATTCAGGTTATTTGATGCTGTTTTTACTGTGAATCTTTGATCCAAAGACTAACACAAGGCAAACCGAGCCTGTATGTATATCAAAGAGGAGGCTAACTCATGCTGGAATTTTTGTTGCCTAAGTAAGGAAAAACTGGTCAAACAGTTTGGTCAAAATGATTTTACATTTGTTTTATTAATTAATTTTCCTGGGATCAGAATGCAAAATATGAAAAGGACCCTACACACAGTAAAGACATGAATCTTTTCAAAGGTCGTCAGATGCAATTAAACATTTTACTTTCAGAGTGAAATGGGCAGAAAAAAAGGTTCAGAAAAAGTGCACAAACGGGTTCACAGACGATCATCTAACACATTTTGATTTGATGTTGTATGTGTCTAATGCGTGAAGATGAAACCTGTCACCTGTTCAGCTCAAGCAGCAGTGAGGTTCTTTTGTTAATCTCATGTCGGCTCACTGAGAAAAACTGGATCTGTTTTTATTTTCATGTTTTGAACTGAGAGCCCCTATCTTGTCTAGCCTGATCATTGAATACTTGACTTTTTTTGCCTTCATCCTTTTACTGATCAGGTTGTTGAGATCAGAGGAAGTCAGATGTTTTACATCTTGGTTTTATTGAAGGTGAACAATTACTGGGATCACAATGGACAAAAAATGCAGCCTGCAGTCAACTCTTTTATAACAATGATTATATTTATAATATATATATATATATATATAAATATATATTAACAATAAAAAAAATATTTGCTTTACCTTGGGAGGAGAGGGCACAATGAAGTCAGGAATTCTAGAACCAAAAAACTGAATTAATTAAAAATGACATTTAGGTAGAAGCGGGTAACTCTAAACAAATGATGTTGATGTGCTGTCTCTAAGCCGGTGGAATGTACTTCCTTTCTAAAGTCATATTTTCTTAAAACGAAAATGCCAATGTTGTGAGATTATTTTACTTTGCAGGATAGGTGGCCCCGTCGCTCTAGAACGACCTACCAGAGAAGATCAGGATAGACACATCTTTGTCCTCTTTTAGTTTTCTTTGAGAAATTCACTTTTTTAAATGTACTTAATGTGTTAGTGTATGTCTAATAATCTATTCTGTTGTTTTATTATTTTTAATATCTTATCATATGCTTAATATTTACTGTTGCTGTCAATTATAATTTTTCTTATCATTATTAATATTATATAATAATAAATTACTTTGTTGATGTCTGGGAACAAAGTAATCTGGTTAAACTCAATTCAAGACAGTCTGCTCTAAAAAAAAAAAAAAGAAGACATAATAACTTTATGATGCCTGAGACAATAACACCTGATGAAAATCATTTATTTATATTTGTGCATCTGTTTTTTGGAGTAATCTTAAAAAAAAAATAGAGTATATTTCTGCAGGTGTCACTGCAAAAAAATCTTCTTTCATTCAGGTTATTTACTCTGAAACATTTGCTTTGTTATTAAAAGGTTAATAACTCAAATGGGTGAAAGTGTTTATTGTCACGGGGGCAGAACTACTTTTTGATGCCTTGGAACATAAAACATCATTTCAATTTAAGACAATAAAACAACTGATGTAACAATGACAGTTTCTGCAGTTGCCACTGGAGAAACAGAAACTCTCATTTCCTTCAGGTTATTTACTCTAATTATTTAGTCTTAAAATATACTCTTTTTTTAAAAATATCAATTAAACCCTTTTTTCACACATTTTAAATTTGTGCGTCAATTTTGTTGATTCAGGTTGATTTTTAACCTACCGGCACTCATTTCTAGACAATTCCTGAAATAAGGGACATTTTTTCCCCTTCTTTTAATAAAACAATGCTTGTCACTCTTTAAAAAAAACCCTTAAAGTCTGAATATCCAGCTAAATGACCAGTAAAAGATGGATGCTTTTTGCAGCAAGGACTGTTAAATGCCTGCAGTGAACTCTTTGGTGTCTGCAGTCCATCACCATGGCGTTGTGCAGCTGAATGGATGTTTGGAACCCTGCAGGAGGACAGACGGCCAAATAATTTTCACAAGTGGCCGGCGAGCTGTGCCCCATGTTAACCCAGAGTTGTGAAGAATGGCCCAGATTCTCTGTCCAGACGTACTGCAGCCTTGACTGGAGGCCTTTTCTTTAAGGGCGGGCAGCAGGGCTGAAGAAAGGGGTCTCGCCATCGATTGATTTTCTTCACTTGCACTTGCCTGTATCCCACGCTTCAGGAGGCCCGGGAGCAGCCATTGATTGAGAGGCCACGCTGGTCATTCTTCCATTCTCCTCAAGACTTCATCAATGAGCTGCTGTCGGTGTCACGGCCTCTCTCAGCTCGGGACTCATTAGTTTCTCCTTTTAGTTTCACATTGTGGGAGGAAATTAGTGCGTTTATAAATGTGTTGAATATGAAGACGAGCTTCAAGGAGCTGTAAAATAGATCCTGATTGAATCTGAACGTTGAAGACTCTCAAAGGCTCCTGGTGGTTTTTGTTTCTATGTACATCAGCAGCATCATGAGCTGCTGCCTGAAAATGTCAACACAGATACTTTATTCCCTCAAATATTTAATGTGTGTGCTTAATTCTTTTCTTTTATTATTGTAATTTGTACTCATACATGAATACCTAGTTCACTTGCATTAGTGTTAAATAAGCACCCTAATGGCCACACAAGAGAGGATTATTTACATGAATGGTTAATCTGTTGATCATTTTGTTATTTAGCAATAAATCTTCTTTATCTAGTCTAATATGTTGGTAAATTGACAAATATGTCCAAGCTGATCTCTCTTTAAAGGTCTTATTTTGTCTGAACGACAGTCCAAGAATATTCAGTTAGTAATGTTGTAACAATAAAGAAAAACAGCAAATCCTCACATTGGAAAAACTTGACTTAAATGATTAATCAATAATGAAAATATTTTCCCATTCATTTTCTGTAAATTCACTGGTTATTGGATTGATCGTTATAGCTCTAAAAGAGATAAGGGAGCAGACGACTTACCTCATCTGTCAGCACAGTTAAATGATTCAAACAAATTAAGAAATTCAAGATTGAGTAAATTGGAGAAATAGATGATTTGAGGGAGGAATATATTAAAAACTTCCCAAAACGACGCCTACTGAACTCCGCAGTTCCCCTCCAAATTCTGAAATATTGACATACTGTACATGTACACATGTTTTTTGTACATGTCACAAGGGAACACTTTGATATATAATAACAAATGTGAAACCATTAGTTAAGTAATTGTTTATTTGGTTTAATAATTGAGAAATCAAAAGCCATTTATCATGCTGAAAGGCAAATAGAAATGCTGTTTTCAGCCTCTTTCTGCTTTTCTCTGTTTCATATCCGAGTAAACTGAATGAAGTTTTGAACTGTAGGTCGGACATAACACATTTGAAGACATCACCTTGGACTCTCAGTAATTGGGACAGACTTTCTTCACAATTTTATAAACTAAACTATTCATCAGTAATGAAAATAATTATTAGTTGCATTTCTTTATGACTTGACACATGTGGTCTCTGGCTTTTCATATGTGAAATAAATTGAACATGTGAACTCCGGTGCTTTTTGTATGGGAGGAAATAAAACCGTGGATATGTTTTTATTCCTATTTATTTGTTGAGACCGTCCGTATTCGCTCTTTGATCAACTCTCCGCACTGTACTTGGTGATTAACATGTTCTCATAACTTACCAGCGTAATAGTTACAACACCAACAATTTGAAAATCCTGAATTCCTTGAAGCTGATGACATCTTGTTTTTGTGTTGCAGGCACCTGTATGCTTTGGGACAAAGAGTCTGGAAACGCTGGAAAAGAAGATATTTTGTTCTTGTTCAGGTAAGAAGCTGATGAGGCTGAGATCAGGTGACATGGATTGATCTGCAATTGATTTGGAAATTGCATCTTAAGATCAGAGAGGCACTGCTCAGTCGGTAGAGCTGGCGACCCATATACGGAGTTACTGCAGCGGCCCGGGTTCGAATGTGACCTTTGCTGCGTATCGTCCCCTCTCTCTCCACCCACCTTTCCTGTCTCTCTACAGCTGTCACTATCAATAAAGCCAACAAAGGCCAAAAAAATAACTAACAAAAAAAAAAGTGAAATAAATCTAGAGCAACTGACTGGCATTAATAAACTGTTTATCCACAAAAAAACTTGGTACTTGACAGATCCAGCATCAGTGAAAATGTGAAATAAGTCATTAAACAGAAGTCTGTGTGTATTTATGATGCATTGGATCAAACTGTCAGCCTTCACAGAACACATATCCTCACACTGAGGTATCTCTCTTTCTAAAAACAGTTTTTTGACATTTAAAAGAGAGGCAAAGAAAGCCAAATTTTAGGTTATTAAAGGAAATCATCTTACGTCAGTCACTCTATTTAAAAGGTCTTGACACGTCGACTGAGCACAAATGTCCTGCTGTAGCAAAGTTAATTGAGTTGTGCTTTCTTAAATTACCCGTGTACACTTTTCCAGTAGCTACCTGAGCGTGTATTGATCACTCCGAGCAAGGGCAGACATTTAAATACAAATCTAGCGTTGTGAAATACTAGTCTGTTTACAAGTTCTTTTCACAGTGAAGCAGTCGTTGGCAATTAAACTCAGCTCTTATAGATAGGATGTAAAAATATCTATCAGGAAAAATCACATAAGTGGAACAAAATCTAAGACATAAAATAGTGCAGCAGCTAAAATATAGAAAAAGAATATAAAATAAAATATAATATAGAAAATATATACAAAATATAAAAAAGTAAAGTACAGGGATAGGTGCAGCTTATAAATGTTAGTAATAAATATATTTACTGGGATATGTATAGATTGAAATAGGTAGCGATAAATATATATGCTGAGCCAATTAATTAATTAAATGTTTTAAATATTAATGCCGACTCTAAACTGTATGTAAGCAGATACAACCAGTGCAGTAGAATGTGTTTGTACAGTACGTACGTATAATATAAGTATGGCAGTAGAGTAAAGTAAAGCAGTATAAAGTGACAAATGTGTATAAGTGCAGTGTGAGTAAATTGTCAAAGAGAGAAGAGTAGAGGCTGTTTAGAGACGTCTATCTATCACACTGCAATGTTCAGCTGTCCACATACTTTTGGCCATGCTGTGGGAAAATGACCTGCTGGGTTTGAGATACTTTTTGCTTGAATATTTCGTCTTTATCGAATTTAACAAAGTGACTAGAATGCAATGTAAATGTAATCCCTGCAAGAGCCTTAAAATGTAAAAACAATGTTGAGATAAGTTTGTTGGTTCTGTAAAACTGCAGGGTGCGGTTTTTTTTTTTTTTTTCGTTTACCTGTCAGCTCCAACGTCAAAATGTTCGACTGGATTTATACCGACTTAAAACCTGCTGTAGTTAAAGTCAAATTATGTTTGAGGCAGAAATAACAAATGCTGATGAAACTAGAGAAGTCAGTGCACTTAGTAGTACTGCTTCTAGGAGAAGTCTATTGAAGCTTCAGCTGGAGAAAACATATGAATCAAGATATAAAAGTATCCAAAGAGTGTTGTCAAAATGCAACAAACAAAAAGTTAAAACTTCTCACTGGAGAAAAAATTTCTTTCTTCCAATTTTTCTTCAATTATACATAATTGTACTGCTTGAGAAATCACAGATGAGAAGTGCAGTGTAATGGAATTTAGGTGTATTTAGGAGGATCTATTGTTTATTAGTATGATCTACAGCAGGTCCTCTTCTATGAAGGCTGCCATATATCTACAGTAGCTCAGAACGGACAAAGCTAACACTGGCTGTAGATAGAACCTTTCACTTTTTTTCGGGCCACCGTTTCTCCTTCGCACTTGGTAGCCTGAGCTGAATTCAAATGGTTGAAATCTGCAACTTTACCGCTAGGTGCCGCTAAATCTTACGCATTGGTCCATTAAAGTTACATTAGAGCATATGTCAGGGCGCATCATGAAGGATGTGTATAAACGACATGAATCCAAAACTCTACAGAACAAAAAGAGCACTGAAGATGGGAGAGAAGCAAAGATTCACCTGTTTGTTTTAGGACTTCTGAAGCGTGCTGTATCTGTGGTTCACCAGTGTGTGTCTTCCTCTTGCAGGTGAGTCAGTACACATTTGCCATGTGCAGCTACAGAGAGAAGAAGGCAGAGCCTCAGGAGTTGATGCAGCTGGAGGGCTACACAGTGGACTACTGCGACCCACAACCAGGTAAAGGCACCTGAGCTCTCCCATTGACATCATCACACAGGGCTTTAAACTGCAACTACATACAGGACACAGAAAACATACATCCTCGCTCACACGCTGCTGGAGGAAAGGATTATATAGACCAAAAAGTATTCATTTGTTAAATCTGTTGTGCAGCATTCAGAACATACGTTAGTGGAATTTCTAAGAAATTCAGATGAGTGTGACTTTAAAATCCGTTACAATACTGTTTCTGTTACTATAATGCTGCTATACGGTGAAGTAACACACCGAACAAGGTCCTCACGGATAAAACGTTATCAGGCTTCGTTGGCTAAATCCAAACCTCCAGACTTCCCCACACGTGCAGGCATGTTCCTGGGATGTCAAAATCCACAATCAATCAAGTCTGCAACGGGCCTCAAGTGGACTTTCTACTGTAGAAACATGCCGGTTCAACATGGCGGCCTCCGGGGGACCTGCTCCCTCTGTAGATAAAAGCGGCTCATTCTAGAGGAAACTGTGTGTAGAAATTCCATGTTCATGTTAATTTGTTTAGGTACAGTAAACACAGTCACATACAAACAATAAACACACATCGCAAATTGTCCGACATGGTGATTTGTGCTGTTTGTTCATTATATTGATTACATTTGGCGCAAAGCCTTCTACTTTTTACTTACTTTCTCCCTCTTCCTCTGCAGGTCTTCAGGGTGGCCGGGTGTTTTTTAATGCGGTGAAGGAGGGCGACCTGGTGATGTTTGCCTGTGACGACGAGCAGGACCGGATGCTGTGGGTCCAGGCCATGTACCGAGCCACTGGACAGTCCTACAAACCAATCCCACCGACGCAGAACAAAACCACAAACTGCAGAGGAGGAATCCAGAAACCAGCATCCCCCATCAGTAGGTTCTGATTCTCTCTGGGTTTGTTTTTCTTATTTAAAAAGTGAAACTAACAGTAAGAAGCAGGAAAACTTTAGAAATGAACAAAATTAATTCATTCATTCATAGATTCACATTTTAATGAGGTAAAAGGAGTAGATGCCATTTAAAGATTTGTGGAAACACTTAACCTTACTATAGTTTTTATACTTTCACACATTTCATTTCATATTGTTCCAAGCAGACATATGTCTTATTAGATGTCTGGAGGAGGTCTTTGAGCTCAGAGATGAAGACAAAGAATGTGTTGTGTTTTATTACTTCAGAATTGCAGCAACACAGTAAAACGCCTCTTTAGTATTTCTTATTTTTCTTTTGTTTGACTTCTCTCCCTTTCTACCTTTACTTCCTCTTCTTTCTATCTGCCTTCTCTCCCTCACCATCTTCACAACAGTGTTTTAATAAATCCTGAATTGTGAAACACACACACACACACACACACACACACACACACACACACACACACAGTAGGAGACAGATGGAAACAGTGCAGGTTGCACTGCTGTGAGAGAGAGAAACACATAAGGGCAGAAACAAAAGAAAGAGATTGGAGAGGACAAAAACTCAAAATGAAAGACAGTCTCTTCTTCAAGGCAACACACACCATCTATCCATTTGTCTTGCCTTTTACTAATTTTCCCTTCATGCATCAATCCTTTCTGTATTTCCTCCCACCTTTAGTTCCTTGATCTTTCTCTTTATACACTTGTCCTTTCTTTTCATCATCTGTCTTCTTTCTCACCCTTGTTATTCTTCTCTCCTTCCCTTATTTATTTTGATATTCTTTCTGTTCTGCCTTTTTTTGGTTATTTCCTTATTCTTCCTTACTTACCCTCTTTCTTTACTTCTCCCTTTCACTCTTTCCTCCCTTCGCCTCATTTACCTTAAAAGAGCCCTATGGAGTTTTCTTGGAAACAAAGTTAAACAGCTTCCACATTGTGTATCTTTGAGGTCTGACAAACGTGTTGGATGCATTCCCTTTCTCATAAAACATTTTTAATGCCCATATGAAAAATATGCCAATCCTTCATTGTTTACATCAATGTTTTCTGCTAGTAGTCTTCTTCTTCCCTGCCTCAGTTGGCACATTGCTACTACGTTTGTTTGCTCAGCAACAAAGTGGGAATATGCTCTTGAAAATTGTGCTACATGATATTCCATGAGTCAAAATCTTCACAGGCTACCTTTAAGTTTTTCCCTTCTTGCCATATATCTTACATTTTGCTCTGGGCATGTTTTTCTTTCCCTCATTCTTGTCCTTTTTTATCTGTTCTTTCTTTCTACTGACTTTCTGTTGTATTTCCTCCTTGCTTCCACATCCATTTGTCTCTTATTCCCCCCCCTTCACCTACAAATCATTTCCTTTATTATCTGTGTGTAGGACGGTGTCTGCCTGCTCGCCGGCCACCTCCTCCTGCCCGAGCATTGTGACATGAAGAGCTTCACTGAGAGCTGATTACGGCAGTATTTGTGTAATTTGCCGTGGCTCGTTAGCGTTTAATGGAACAGATTGAGGCGTTAATGGCGAGAGGTGATGACACGCTGTTTGCAGGAGGAAATAGAAGGTGTCCCTGAAATACCTCTTAACTGGGTGCTAAGTGCCGCAACGTACGTGTGTGTGTGTGTGTGTGTGTGTGTGTGTGTGTGTGTGTGTGTGTGTGTAATGGGCTTGACAGAAAGTCTCTCTCGCTTTAATAACGATCGTGTTGGTGAACATGCATATACGTCTGTTCTTGCCCTGCAGTTTTTCATAAAAATGAAATGCAGAGGTTAAATAACACTAATCACTGCGTGTGTACACACGCTGACGAGCACTTACAAAACCACACACACACACACACACACACACACACACACACACACACACAACAAAGGTGGGTAATTTAACATTCATAAAATCATACTTCTCCGGTCTTGACTTCATGTAAAGAGCTGTGTTTTTGAACACAAACAAGCTATTCTTCTGTGTTTGAAGGTTAATACAGGTGAGACAATGAGAGCAGAGACACAAGATCTCTCGCGTTGTGTTTTTGGAAGCACCTCAGAGCACAAAGAGTGAGCGGGCACTTGTATGTGTGAGTCTGCTGACTGTTGTCACTCTGTTGAATGGATGCTTTCTTATTACATTTTTAACTATATACTCGACAAATAAAAGGTCATTAATCACATTTGATTATTTTTCTCCTTTTATTTTAAACTTTTGTGTAACATTTCAATGAAGCATGTAACAAAATATAAAATATGAATGTATAAAGAAATACTATTTAAATAGGAAACACTTTTCAACTATAGTTTCATTAGTGTAAAGTATGGTTTTCTAGTCCATGTCATGTTTTATACCAAAACCACATCCATGCAACAGAACTAGCCCCTCTTTTAGGTACCAGCTCCTTGTTTCATCATGGCAAAACCGATAGAGCATAATATGAAACGATTCTATCGATTTTTCTATCGTCAGTATATATTGTTGTTTCACACTGCCCTATTCCAAATTGTTAATATTTTACTATAAAATCCACTACGTGGTGTGGCAGCTATTTAGTAGTTCTTTGAATGTCAAGTGAGAATTATTGTACCTAATATGGTGGACCTATTATTATTATTATTATTATTATTATTATTATTATTATTATTAAATAGTACAATTGATGGTCACTGAGAGATAACTACCATCATGCATTGCACAGAGGGACAAAAAGTCCAATTTAAACACATGTCAGATGAACAGGTTGACCTGACATATTTTTTCATTTTGCATTTAGCATGTTAGTGTAAACAATGCTAGACATGCGTACACTAACTAAATGCTGCTCCGTCTTGACAGCTGCTGTGGTCACGAGACCAGTGGGATCACATCCCAAAAAAGACAGAAAAACCTGATGCTCTGTACATTCTGTTTCCTCAGTTTTCAGGTTAAAAGGAATTCCTTAAGGTATGAAAGGAAGCACAGTGAAAGAGATGAAAAGCAACAAAAAGTGTGGGGGAGACATGAGCAAAAAATAAGAAAAAAAATGTGCATTCCATTAAACAAAACCAGGCCTTCATTTTGATGTAGTCTCAAGAGAAATTTGACTGCTTTGTTAGCAGATTTCAGCAGCTGGCCTTCGTCACTTTCTCGGCTCTGAAAAGAAAAGGACAAACAGCGAGTGCGAGTTTGCTAAAGAAACTTCAGCAGCCATCACTTTATGTCACCTCCCTTGCCTGTTTACTGCTGCCAGCAGTTCACATAAACAGGACTCAAATGGACCAGCGTTCAAACAACCCACAAACAAAGTCCAAACAAGTGGAAATCATCCAAGGCTGTGGGAGGTTTGGCTCTGGCCTTTGACCTGAAATCCACTTTTGACACATAGACTGTGACTTCAGTCCTCCGTATGAACAGACGGGCCAGTTGGGGGTCAAGACTCGCCCCTGAAGTTGTTTTTCGGGGTTGTTTACACCTGTCAGTTGTGTTTTTGATGAAGCAGGTGGTCAGTTTGACAGTGAGGAAGATCCCGAGGAGAGACGTTCAAACTGTCCGTTTGTCTTAACCTCCCGGGGATTCAGCAATGCCCTCAAATGCAGCAGAACAGCTGGGGATGCATTTGAGTGCAAACTTTTACCTGAGTTGAGAGCGTTTGCGCACTGTGCTATGAGAAGCCTCGCTCAGCCAGACGGAGACTGATGGGCTTGTCTGTCCGCATCTTCATCTCTGCTCGCCCTGACATCATCTTCATTGCTGCCGCCACGCTCCAACAGGCAGATCAAGTCACATCTCTCAGCCTGGTGCACCTGAAACCAAAACGCTCTCCTTCCTCCTCCTCTTCGTCTGCATCAATAACCTGCCATCAGTACCCGCCACCACCTCTCAGAGCAGGATGTCACATAGATGTGACTTTTTCCGTGACGATACCAATGGAGCCCAGACAAGATGGATATGGAGAGATTGAGCGCAGAAAACTACCCCCACCTTCCCACCCCATCTCACACACACACACACACACACACACACACACACACACACACACACACACACAAACCCCTCAACACTCACTCAAACATCCTCATAACATCCTCACACATGTTGTTTTTGAAACTGGTCAAGTATAGAGCAAGAGTGCTGCAGCAAGCATCCACAAAATGGGCTGCACCATAATCCTTATGGGCAATTGTGCATCGTCAAGAATAAGATCCTTTTTATTTAGCCACAAACAGCCGTTATATCGCCTTGTTCAAAGCCACCAGATTCCTTAGACAAAACTCAAACTCGACAGAAACAAAAGTCAACAAAACATTGGCCTGTCATTCCACTGTTCCAACAATCACCAACTCTGGTTTGGTTGAAATAAACCCTGATTCACTAAGGCAGATTGAGAGGGAGGTTGTGCATCAGAGAGGCAGTGAGGTGAAAAATCATGTAGAGCCGGAATATTTTCACATTTCCCTTGGTGAATTAAGAGTTTTCAAATCGATGCAGCAGAACCACACCTATCTACCTTTTATTCAACACGTTCTTTTTTTTTTTCAGAGCCGGCACTTACAATACAATTTGACTGAAGACAGTTCAGTCAGAGATTCAGGTTTGTTATGCTAGTAGCAGCTAATGTAGCCTCGAGGCTAGATGAGGAGCAGACTACAGAGGTCTGGTAAACTCACTTCTCGCTATTGCCACATTTCCAGATTTGTGTCATTGTTTTCAACTTGTTTTCAGACCCAACCGACGCTGACTCAAGTAACATCACTTTAGGACATCTATCAAATTTTTCACAGCTCTCTATGGAGCCACAAAATCCAACTTTTTCACATATGCTATAGTACTCCACAAGACCTGTAAACATTTGATGTGTAGAATCTGTGCTCACACATTCTTTAAATGTTACTGATAAATACATTTTCATGCCTGATCTGATCGAGTTTGTTCTAAATCTGGTTCAGTTGTTGTTGACTGTTTAAGACAAAATCATACAGTGTGTTGTTGAATGTTTGTGATAGTTTAGATAATCTATTAATCCAGTGGACACCTGTTGTCATCATTATTTTAACTATTTGTACATGAAAGTTCTGTACATTCAGCAATAATATACGTACGTAATACGTTTAACAATATAATCTTAACTTGAGGTTTGATTGTTACAACTTGATCCTGACTGTTATGACTGAAAAATTATTTCAAAAACCATAAGTGAGGATGATATAATGTCACATCTCAGCTGAAGTCAGCTAAAAAGGCTTTTCAATAGGAAGTTGGATCATTCAGTGAAGTTGTGCAGGGCTTGCAATTACCCATAACTCTGTGTAGATCAGCAGAGATGTTTACATTATTATAATTACAGTTTAAACTTTAAACTTTACGTTTGAGATTTTCAGAAACTCAAACCTCATTTTCAACTTTTCTTTAATTTCCATTCAATGCATTTACAACCTGCAATTGCCTCTCTATATAGTACTTATCCTTGTTGGTGGCAGGGTCTGCCATTCCCCATATTGCATTCAAATTGCCTACTGTTCAAAAAATACAAAGTGAAGAAACCTGCAGACAGTCTGGATCTTGCACACCATCTGTGCAGGAGCAGTGACATCCATCCATATTTTTTGTCACACACACTCGTTCACACACATACACCATCCCCCCCAACACCCCCCCTGCAGATAATAGCTGAAAGTTAGACTCGACACGGATCAACATCACTCTTCCGCTGTCTGTCCCCCAATCAATACTCCCCCTCCTCCCCCCTCCTCTTATTATTAGCACTAATCTATATCTCTTTGTCTCGTTTTCTTTAGAGTTGCCTCCTTTGCTCCCTGTCTTTTCTCCATATTACATTAAGGACAATCCCATGTTTTGAAGGTAACGAATGTAAAATGACCTACATCGGAATTAGACAGAGGAAAAGCAGGCCACAGGAGCCAAAGGGCAGTCAGAGTCAGAAGAAAAGAAGATAGAAAGAAAAGGAGAGGAGCGTCGATTGGAAGTTGATTGTGGAGATTTCACTTTTGCTGTCTTTTTTTTTCTTTCAGACAAAAGCGACAAAGAAAGGAGGGAAGAAGGGGGGGAAACACAAATGTCTGAGAGTCCTTGCGGGCTTCTCTACGTCCACACAAAAACAAAATGGCAGCGTTAATAAAAAGCGATCACTAATGCTTGTCTCAGACATGAGGCCGCAGGCGTCGCAGGCGTGGAAACAGCACCGGCATTCTTCAGCAAGCCTTGGTCTTTTGTGGGGCCATGTGTCACACTCAGAAACTTCCCATCCCGAAATGTACTCCCCTGATAAAGGCAGAATGGAGAGTGTTAGGCTTTTCATTTGGCAGGGCCATTAACAGGAAAGTCTGAAAGGACTGGAAATGAACCCAGGTTTGCTCAGGCCGGGACGCCCTGCGCCTCTTCTGCTTCTTTTATTTTTCCTTTTTTTTGTTGTTGATTCTTCCGTTGCTGACCCCGAAGCCTTGTTATTGTCTGCTGCTCCAGGCACTGCACGGCAGAGCTGCAAGAGCTCAAAGTATCTCTACTACTATGTAAAAACACTTCAGTAATAGTCATTCCAGTTTGTTCTCAAAGTATAAGTCTGGTGATTAACTATATTTTTCATTTTGTCAAGAAATCCCATGAAGGGATTAAAACCAACAGTAAATAGTTTTGTGAGTAGTATTGCATCGTGTGTGTATCAAAAAAGCCTGATATCAGTATAAAACAACATTTTATAAATGACTAAAGCTAGAATATCACACCAGAAATTGAAATATCATTCTGTTCTTATTGGGATTAAGAAATATCAGTTCATTACACCAAAAATAGCCCCCAACAAATTAACTGCTTCTTCCTGTTTGATTAAAAACTACAGCGATCAGCTGTTTTAGGAAATTACTGAACCTATTATTTTAAATGTAACAATATATTTTTAGTAGGAACCAATGGGCCATGGACAGAAGGTCAGAAAGTATTGAGAGACGGTCTAACGTGTTGATGGTTTCGGTCTTTGGGATTTGTTGACATGAAGAAAAATATATACTAGGACCTGTGGTCTTGAGGTGTAAGGCGCTGACTATGAAACGCAACATCCCTGTTTTGCAGGAACCATTACCACCGTTATTCTCCATTTCTCTGCTGTTAATATCATAGCATATCATGCCCAAAAATGCTCTAAATGAGATCACTCTGGTGTGATCACTTGAGTTAACTGCATTTGTTGATGAAGACTTTGACATGCAGTTTACGTTTTGAAAAGCTAGGAAGTTAACCTTGTGAGCTCAGATCATTTTAAAAGTCCGGTGTGTAACATTTAAGAGGATCTGTTGGCAGAAATGGAATAACGCATTTTTTCATCGTTTTCATAAGTTTATAGTCACCGGAATAGAGGAATTGTTATGTTTTTGTTACCTTGAGGAAATGAGCCTCTGCCATGTTGAACCGCCATGTTTCAACAGTAGCCCAGAAATAGACAAACCAAACACTGGCTCTAGACAGTTCACATTTTTTTACACGTTTCACAGCCTCCTTTGTGCTTGGAAAGGGAGGGTGAAGTGAGGGAGTTGGAAATTCACAACTAGATGGCACTAAATCCTACACACTGGACCTTTTAATACAAATACTGTTCCCAAATGTTAAGAATGAACTTCCATGCTCAAATCAAATTGATTGTGTTTCTGACATGTTAATATAGAATTCAATAACAGAATAATTAATAATTAATAAATGAATTAATAAAGCCAATCAAATGTATTTAATTGCACCAGGATACCAAACTTTAAAAATGTGAGTATGTGTAATATCTCCCTTTATCTCGCGATGTGTTGTTTTTGGTTCTCTTTCTGGCTGGTTTTCGACTCCATGAGTCACTTCCAGTGTTTTCCTCACATGTCGTCCATGTTGGCGAATGTTTTGTGTCAGCTGAGAGTACTGACAGCTTCACAGAGGATCTGTAGCCAACCGAGGTGGGAACTATTAGCCACAGCACTGAGAACTGACACTGCCAATGTAGTCTTGTCTGTGCCTGCGTGTGTGTGTTTACACTTCAGTTCACTGCTGAGCTCAAACAGAGGCGTGAATGATTGTGAATCTGAACACATTTATATATCACCACTTTTGGTGACAGAATCATGCAAAGATATCAGTGCAGTCCTTCATCTAGAGAAGTCGATTTTACATTATGACATTGAGGTGAATGACTCCATTTTTACTATTTTAGTAGTTTTACTATTTTTCATATGTTCAAATATAGAAACCGTTCTCTAGATGGAAGCATCATAGCAATTGTCTATACCTGCTACAGCTTTAAAGGTTTCACCAAAATACAGGAAAAGATCCTTCATACACTTTGAAATGATGGCCGTTTGTTGTCACAATAACATTAGTTAATCCTTCAGCTGTTCAAGTTTTGTAAAATGTTGGTTTGTAAAGATTTAAGTCTGTAATGAACAGAACAAACTGTTTTACAAACAGAGACAATTCATGATCAATGTCAGTGCCAGTTATCCTACAATCCAAAAATTTTACATTTTGTATTACATTTATAATAGAACCAGAGCAAGCAATTGATTTATTTTGATATAAAAAAGAGAAAGAGAAAGTTCAAAACCAATGTAATAGGATTTTTTTATATCTATCTTTTAAATGTGAATTTTAAAGGATTTATTTCTCCAAACCTGATTTTGTGATAAATTAACAATGTTTCTTACTCTGTTATTCTATTTTCTTCTTCTTCTTCTTCTCACTAAAATTTGTACAGCTTGATGAAGTCGGATCCAAAATAATGATGATTAAAACCAGGGGCCGTGATGGTGGTGTTTTAACTTCAATCTAAAATTTCAAACTTTTTCTTTTTAAAGGACCAGTATGTAAGATTTACTGGCCGCATTAGATGGCAACGAGATAAGTTGCAACCAACTGAATAGCGCTCGAAACTACAGAGGCCACAAAAACCTCAAAAGGCCCTACCTACAGCCAGCCACACTGGACCTTTTAAAGTCCTACATGTGAGGAGTCGGAATGAATTCTGTTAAAATTTCAAATAATTTAAATCAACTTTTCGGGACTAAATTGAATTTGCTTACGGGCAATATAGATTAAGTAGTGCTAGTGTTTCCTTTATGTAATGAGACATAGAGCTAAATGCTCAGTTCAGATTTTTTTAAGTCAGTCTTAAAACAATACAGACATATGTGCATTAAAGGTGTTACATGTTATAAACCTGCTCCTCCTCTCAGCCATACTGTATTAAAAAAAATAATAATAATTCTGTGTTCAGGTCTGGATCCATCTCAGCGCCAGGGGGTGGAGGAGCTGATCTCTGCAGCTCCGTGTCGCTTCGACCACGCCGCCCTGTTCACCATTTTACAGAAAAACACTCTGCAGCACCGCATGAACGACTCCTTCTCCTGCCTGGTACGTCAACACGAAGTCATAACCTGACACACTCCTGATTTTATCTTGATGTCTGTGTTGTCAGCTCATTGACACGATCAGAAATGTGCTGTCAGTCAAACTGGGTGGCCGGACTGAGGATGAGTTTCTGAAGCCGGTTCTCTGTTCTTTGCTCACTATTTACGATAACTTGAAATGCAAGCTGCAACTTGTTTCCTGGACAGGAGATCATTATAAAAATGTATAATTCTTAAATATAAGACAAAATAACTTTAAACCAATAAATCATAGAAATGTAACACTTGGAGGACTGAAAATTTGATATTTTTTTAAATAGAATTTAGCCAATACATACTGTACAGTTTATTGCAAAGTGATTTAGTCTCCATCAACTGCATTTACACTTGTAAATGTTTCACAGTACACACAGTAGTTCTAAGAAATTCTGCTAAGCTGTGAGTGTTTAAAAATATATATAGACAGTAAATTAATCTATCAGTCGATCAACAGAAAGTTATTCAGCAACCATTTCGATAATTATCAAATTCGCTTATTATTTGCTTTGGTTGCTTCTTCTATGATAGTAAACTAAATATCTCTCAGTTTTGGACTGTTTGGTGGTAATAATGACATTCATTTTTAGTTCAAGTTAAATAAATTGTACCGATGACCAATTAGGCAAAGAATGACAAAAAAACATGAAGAAACTTCTAACTTTTCAGCAGTTTGAAGATGTGAGAGAGACAGAGCTCTCTCTCCCTCTGTCTTAATTTCAATTCAGTTCAATTCACTAGGCTTCATTGGCATGACAATTGATATGTGTTGCCAAAGCAACATTATACGTATGTGAGAGACAATGTTAAGAAAGGAAATTGACAAATATAAAAATATTAGTTAAAGGCAGAGTGAGAATGATTTATCTAAAAAGAACAATAAAACAATGACCCACTAGGAGTGTCTGTCTCAGCAGAGACCCTGTATTTTCTTTATTTGCCGTGTTCGGGAAGTTTCTTGGCGATAACATTCCAGCCAATAACAGCGCGCAGGGTGTGAGGGTGAGACTCTTAAAAAACGTATAGCGACCAGGTACCAGATCATAAGAACACACCCAAGAGGAGCCGTTGAGCAAGGGAGGAGAGCCAACACAAACCCTACTCATTCTGCCTTTGATAGAATAAAATGGATAATACAATCAAATTCTATTAATATATGTAGGCCTATAGACTTTAACAATACAAGACAAACAAAAACAATGAAAAGTCTTAATCGACTGATGATAAAATAAAGAAATGATAATAGTAGAGATAATACAAGACCGCCATTAGTCTATTAGTCGAACAGCATAATAAGATTATCTGTTCCCTCTCCCTGTCTCTCTAAATTTAAATTTAAATTTAATGAGGTTTAAAGACCAATTATTGTCAAACCAATATTAATGATAATCATAGTAATCATCAGCAGTCATGTCAGTAATAAATAAATAATAATGACAACACAACAGTTATAACAACAATAATAATGATAAATGTATACATATTTGTACAGTCACAAACCCTAATAAATAGGACATTGTAACACCAATATGACAATTGATATCAACAAGTAAACAGACAAACTTGATCACAAAAAGAAGAACCAGTATGAAGTCTGGTGGTGGATGTCCCTCAGGTTGTGGCAAGAGGCCAGATATTTAGCTGCTGATATGCTGCAATTTTCTCTTTCATCTAACTAGTATTTTAGTTTGTCCCTTTCTGTTTTTCAAATTTTTTATATCTGTGTAGAATTTGGGGAAAGAATAATGCTCTAATTTCAGCATATTTGTTGCAGTGTAGCAAAAAAAAAAAGTGACTCTGTCTCCACTGTTTTCTGTGTGCACCGTGAACACAGCCTGTCGTCCCTTGTCAGCAGGTCTGTCTATGATGACCAGCCTGGTGTTCTCTGAGTCTGTACCTTGTGTCTTTCTCAATATCTCATCAGTCACGCTGTGTACTGTTGGTTTAGGGCTAGATAACACTTCATTTTACTATGAGTTTTTGTGGTATTGTCTGTGGGCTGGGCTGAGGCTCTTTAGGGTTGATAGAGAGTGTCAGGACTAGTTGGCTCTTTTCCTGGTTCATCTCTTGGTCTTTTAGGGCTTTGTGGTGGAATGTTGATGGGTTGATTGTTTTCAGGTGATTGTAGAATTTGATGGCTCTTTTTTCACTTTTAATTTGGATTCATTTATAATTTGGCTTCTCAGCAGGCATTATTCGTGTTTTTTCTGAATCCACACAAAGTGTTTTGATTTACTGCAACACAGAGCAATGGTTTCTATGACTGAATTGAATTTAGAATTTTAACCAAATTGTAATGTCTTTTTTTGATGTTTGTTTTAACTGTATAGATTGCTCTCCTTGTCTTGTCTCTCAGGTCATTCACAGCCGTGTGTGTCTCTCTCTCTCCCCCCCTCTTTCTCTCTCTCTGTGTTAAGCCTGGGGGGCTCTCTCACACTGATTGAGGGTATAAACGCTCTAATCAATACTTTCCAAATAGGAAAATGACCCTTATAGACGACTGCTGGGCTGACTCAATGGATGGGGGTAGAGAGGAGAAGTGAAGCCAAAATAAGTGTGTGGAGGGGGGTGGTCGGGGGGGTGAGTGTTTTTGTGTTGCGTGCAAAGCAAGAACCATGAACCCCAAACTATGATTCACATTTGCTTTTATATTTTCACTCTAGTGCTTGAAGCTTTCTGTACACCAGCCTTGATTGTAGTGTGGTCATGTTCATGTTTCAATGCAGCTGCACAAGAGTTCCTGTTCCAGACATTTATGAACCCAGATCAGTACAATCACTGTTTTATACTTGAAAATTACTTGGACTTGACATAATTGAAAACAGTATATTCAAGTCCTGAAACAATAAAAGACACAAAACAATGACAGGAAGGCCTTCACATTCCACACACATTTAATATATAGTTATTCTGCTTGTGCATTTGTTTATGAAGACGCAGCATGAACCAGCTGAGTAGACATTACGTTAGATCCACTTGTGGTTACAGCAATTTGACTTGAGACTTTTTTTAGACTGAGCGCTTGGTTCCACTCCTGACACAAGATGGCAACCAAGAGAAGGAAAATTAAGTCATTTGGTTGTTGTTTTTCTGTTGTTTTGATGTGGAATAAGAACAGACCTGTAAACACTAATGTGTGTGTATTTCCTTCACACATGCAATCAGTGTTTTGTTAACTTTATCCACATTCATATGGATATAGTCTAAAGGCAAACCACTGGACTGTTTTTGACCTCTGTCACAAACTACAGATAGACTTGGCTTTTTACAAATGTATGGAGGTTTATTTTAGTGAAGTGTAATTTTCACAGGCAGCTATTTAATTACCACAAATCTCCAACTCTTTATTATTGAACATATCCATACTGATCGATCACAGCCCCTGAGTGTCATAGAACTACAGTGGGTGGGAAAATAAAATCAATAAATCGATAATCAATAAAAACCACGCTGTTCTCTTCCTGACTACTCTTTATAGAGCCTACTGTAAAACAGATACTGTCCATTGGATTTCCAATTTTAGTCAGCTTGGTGAAGACAGTTTCTCTGTCAGCTAAAAGGACGGCTCAGTCTGAGGACAGTTATGCTGTAATAACGGTTGGAGCTGCTGTGGATCAAACACGGTCACTTCAGTGTGCACCACTGATTTCTGGTGTCTGATGTAAATTTTGATTAGCAAGGCAAGTACAGTTCCTTTCAGTAGTTCAAAGGGCTTTACATAAGTCATGAAAGGCTTTAAGAAATTATATGAAAGAAACACAAGGCAATATAAAAAAGACAACGTAACGCAAATTAATAGGATTTCAAAAATAGTAAGACAAAAAAAACAAGCTAAAATAGAAGAAGACAACTTAAAAAAGTAGAGAATAATTTAAGTAGAAAGAATGACAGTGCAGCTGCAGTGCAAGATATGAATAACTGATCCCAACTTTATTCTAATGAAAAGCATAAGCCTATAGGAAAGTTTTAAGCCCTGATTTAAACAAGCTCTGACAGATCAGATCTCAAGTTTTCTGGAAGTTTGTTCCAGATATGTGGTGCATAAAATGTAATGCTGCTTTCCTGTGTTTAGTCTGGACAGTTCATAATGTAGCAGCAGATCAGAAATACATTTTGGCCCTAAACCAACCAGTTCTTTATTAAAAAAAAAACAATAGCATTTCAAAATAACACCAGGAAGCCAGTGTAAAGATCAGCATGCAACCATCTGATTGACTTTTTAGAGACCTGTAAAGAGCTCAGTATAATATTAAAGTTTTGTTTAACTTGACATAATTTTGGTATATATAATCATTGACTTATCACTGCATTTACTCTGTGCTTGAATGGGACCATTTATAAATCTGTGTGTTGCCTGCACACTTATGTAAGATATGTTGTTGTTTTCCATAATCTAGTGGGAGCATGTAGATGTTAGAACAGAAGAGGCCTCAGAATGGAGCCTTGGAGAACTCCACATCATTTGTCTGCACTTAGAAGTGCAATTACCAATTAACACAAAGTAGTCCCAGCCCTTCAAATATGATTCAGATCATTTAAGCCCTGTGCCAGAAAGCCCCACCCATTGTTCCAGTCTGTCTAGTAATATGTGGTGGTTGACGGTGTCAAATGCAGCAAGATCTAAAAACACCAAAACTGAAACTTTTCTATTGTCTGTGTTTAAGTGGATGTAATTCAGGAACTTAACAGAGCAGTTTTGGTTCTGTGGTGTGGGCCAAATCGTGTGCTGTATAATAGAATGTACACCATCATCAGACACTAAAACCCTCCACTGAAACATATACTAAGACAGATGTTGAGGAGTCAGCTCATCCTGACGTGTTGCGTTGTGTTCTCGTCTTCTAAAAGCAGCAGAATGAGATGTTCAGAGTGACATCTGTGCTTCTTTCATTTCTCTACCTGCCTCACCAGGACTCCTTCTAGCTCTGCAATTAGACCGATCCATTCACACCGCCCCTCCAGCCCCCT